CAAGTTACATGGTACCTACTAAGTCAGCAAAAGCAAAAACACGTTTGCAAAATCCTCTTGGCATGGAGAATAATAGTACCCCAGAAAAGGGACCAGCAGGGTCTGTCAAGAAGCGACTCTCTTACCCGCCTTCACCTGCCAGACCAAGGCGGCATTCAGGTCCACCAAAGCTGGAGAATACCTCCATGAACACCTCTATCAACACATCCATTGCCGAGGACAACGTGAAAGAGGTCATCAACTAATTATTCTTGCCACAAGTAAGAAACTATCCTGCTGCCTTACTACATGAACTAAATGCAGATAAGAATTAAACATGTCTGGAATTCTTTGTTTCTGTTTTTGGGCTCAACGCGGATGGTTCTTGCTCTTATATATTTCCTTCTCGCAGAGTTGTTGAACGCGTGAGATTGTGATAGTTGTGTATCATTTTACAGAAAACATTATTCTTGATTGTGATTATATATGATTGTATCCTTATTATGTATCCACATAGTGAAAAAAAACTACAGTATTTATTTATTCAGTTAAAGGTACATTATTTGCTGTCTTTGAATTTTATCTGTTTTTGCTTGCTTGAATTCTGAGGATGGTTGACAAAATGATAGCCTTAAACCTGAATGTCAATCAGTCATAACAACACAGAACACCCCGTGTGCTTAAGGATTGGACATCTGGAGCGTAAGATAGGGGGCGCCCAACATCAGGTAAACAATGAATTTGGATGAGTCTGATTTTGATATCATGATAAAGAAACGGAATTTGAGTCTAATTCAAACCTAAAAATTAGCTCAAGAGGCGAGAATTGTTCAAGATTATATAAATAAACCGGATTTCCTTCCCCGAGCTGATCTGGGACTCAACAATCTGCATTTCTTGATACCAAAGTTGTTTTCTTAAAGCAAATATCTTGAGTAAGAATAAAGTCTTATGTAATTGGAAATGAGTTCTGAATGAGTGTATGTCACGTAATGGATTGTAAATGATAAATATTAACATAATGATGAAAGGTAATTGACAAGTAGAAAGGCAATATGGAATTGTGATGATTAGACGCGGCAAAAGTAGCTCATGAAATTATAATTCGTTTATTTTTGGATTGAGAATTGATCTGTTCATTTATTATCTTAGTCTAATCTATTTTAATCCATCAAAATTTGGGCTGATATCTAGCTCAAATTAGTCAATGAAAAATTGTCAAAATATTTTTAAAAAGATTTTTTTTATTTGATATGTTATATATAGTCATAAAAAAGAAAACTAATAAGACAATTTAAACTCAATAATATTATCATAATTGGAAAAATTACCCAAATACACATTTTATTTTATCATAATCTCTAAAATTCCCTATCATATTAAAAAAATTAATCAAAAATTCCCTCTCAGATGCATCACTTCCCTCTTGGTGACACATCTCTATCTCTCTCGGATACATCCCGACCCTCGCCTATGTATCGGGATCCTATCCCCTCTCAGATACATCCCTCCCCTATGTATCTGGATGTTCTATTCCCTCTTTGATACATCCTCTCCATGTATCCGGATGTCTACTGATGTATCTGAAAGTGATGTTATCCGAAATCCATAAATTTTAAGAAACTTTTGTAATTTGTAAAAGAGTAGGGAAATAATGTAATTAACTCTTAACACTATAAGATTTATGTAAATTATACTCCCTCCGTCCCATTTTATATGTCACCTTTTGGATTTCAAGAGTCAAACAAGTCTATCTTTAACCGTAAATTTTTCATAGATCTTTTAAACATTTTGAATTATCAATTATTGTGAATAATAGTACTCTTTACGTAGTTTACAAATATATAAATTTCATTTCAAAAAAATTGAAGATTTCATGCGCAAATTACCGGTCAAACTTAAATTGTTTGACTCTCAAAACATAAAAGGTGTCATATAAATTGGGACAGAGGGAGTACATAATAATTGGGATGATTTGATTTTGGCCCATTTCAGTCTGATTCATTTCAGCTCAAGTAATTTTTGGGCGAATCAATAACTTACCAATTATTTACTCAATTCATTTTAATCCATCTAAATTCAATCACGACTGCTCCATTTTACACCATTAATGAGAATGTACAATATAGGAGCAAATGGTCACAATGAGTGACTACTAGACTCATCATTCCATATGTTTTGTTCTTGATAATATCCTCTATCAACATCAATCAAATCCTTTAAGCACTAAAATGTACAAACATATAGACTTGGCCAGGAAATCTGTCACGATCTAAAACGGGACCTTGGCCGGTATCCCATGCTTTAAACTGGAACAAAGAAAATATTTTATACGTGTTTTAAGCCCTTAAATTTATATTCGTTATTCATATTTTATAACATGGTACCATGTTTCAATTATTTATTTGCCCTCATATGGATCTGTATGTACCTCGTGATTAATCAAAGCATGTATTTAGTAGAAATTATTGACAAAAAATTTACGGTCCATACGAAGTCTTCACTCATTAATTATCAATGTTATTCGACATTACACCATATAAATTCAAATCATATATATACAAAGGAGAATGTTAGACTTGCTTACGTGGCATGCCTAGAAAACTATTTATATTTTTTGTGGTTTTTTTGAATTTTTTATTTATCTTTCAAATTTTCTCTTTTATAATTTGAAGGCACAATCATTATTATTATTCAATTAAATGAACAATGAATATGTGTAAATGTTCGGTTACTGATCTTTCAGACTTTCACATCCTACGTTTTTCATATTCCCATAAATACACATTTATTGTTCTCCTACAAATATAAACTGAGGTGTTGGGTCTTCATTACCATTTTTTTTTTCATTTCATGTATCCCAATCACCATTTAGTTATTTTTTTTAGAATATGATATTGTGTGCAGATTCTTTTGAGAATTTTTCATACCGGCTAACTTAGTTACATTTTTGTACATATCTTATGATAATATTTATTATTCTTTATACTTAGATTATTGTATTATATATTTTGCTATCTTTATTGTTTCTTTCTTTACTCTAGAATATTTTATCAAGCTTTTTATATTATTTTGTTATGATTTCTTTACTTTCGCTATTTTTTTCTTGATATATTTTTTCTTGAGTAGAAGATCTATAGAAAACAACATCTCTACCTCCAAAAGTGGGGTAAAGACACTCTACCCTCCCCCATATTATTTCATGTTCATGTGCTAATTATTTTAATTTTTCAATTAAAGTGAATAATTATATTAGTACGTATAAATGTATCTCCTCAATTTTTTCATTCATCTGTCACTACAATTTTTCAGTCTTGCAATTTTCCTCTTAGGCCTAATAGTAGTCTATGATTTATATTTTTTTTGGTTTTATTATCTCTATATGTGTATATGGTGGAGTGTTAGTTGTCTATGTAGATTATCTTATTCAATTTTGTATGATCTGCGAGTGTATTGTATATTACGCACATAAGTGATCTATTTTATTAAAGTGGTGTTGTAAGCTACTAATTCTTGATAGGAAGCTAAAGGAAGAAATAAAATCACAAAAGAAAAAATTATGTTTTAATTTCTTTGTTTTCTTTATTCTTAATTTTGACATTTTTTAGAGTATATTAATTTGGCTTGAATTTTATTATATTGTTGGTAGTAACTTAAATTTGATTGACATGTAATATGTATTCAATATTAGTATTATTTGATGGACATGAATGGATTGCTTATTTGCTTACCATCATCACACCTTTCTAATTCTACTCTTATAAATTTATAATTAAAACTTTTTTTATTCATAGACAAATTTATTATTTACTCATTCACCATATTGAGACTAATGGAATAGTTATTATTGTTCCAACCTCAAAAATTTCTTATTTACGCAGGAAAAAAATAAATGAAAAACCTCTTTAGCGATAAGAATAAATCAACTTTTGTTCTTTTTTGCATTTGCTTCTTTTTAAAATAAATCAGCCCAACAATCTTTTTCAACCTCTTTAATTATATCTTTTATATGTTTTTCTTAAATATTTTTAAAAATTAATCTTGATTCTTAATTAATCTCATTAATTTCTTCTTAACTATCTTTAGAATGGTGACGTTTCGAAAATGAAGGGTGGTGCAGGAAGGGTAGAGGACCATTCATGTACCCCTATTTACTAATTCATATTAGTACGTATAAATAATATAACAAAATTCAATAAAGACCTTCATCTTCTCCACATCATGCCCTCTTATACATTGCTATATATCATAAGGCGCTTGTTTTTGTCAGATGTTTAATACCTTTCAATTGAGAAGAGATTATAACATCACGTTATCACTTTCACTTAATGCTTACATGAAGATTTTACTGATCACTTCTTTTTGATAGTAATAACTTCACATTCGACTAAAATATGAAAAAGATATAGCATATGAAGATCTTACCCTTATTTTATAAGATAAATATTTTATTTGAAATGTCTAATATTTGACTCCAAATATTTTGTCACAATATTTCAGATTTTAACGACGAGACACGAATAAAATTTTACTTTTTTTTAAACAAGTCACGATATTCTTGTGTTAGCCAACAAATAACCTTATTTGTATTGCCCTCACCTTTTTTATCACCTTATTTTAAAGCCCAATAATCTCAACTTTCGTCTTTCTTCTGTAATTTTTTATTTATTACTAGCTCAATTGGACATCCATTTGTTCCTATAGTTATTTATTTAAAATATTTAATATTTATTTTATATGTTTTAAAATTATGGTCTTAAAGAGGTGATATAGACAATACTTCTTTTAAATTGGAAATTACATTTATTATTTCTTTTTTAAAATCTACCTACTAATAGAATATTTTTAAAATACATTTACTACTATTTAAAGTAAATTTTAATGAAATTATTTATAACGCGCGAAGCGCGGTTTAGTTTACTAGTTAGTTATATTGATAGACTTTAGATATTGAATAGGGGAGGGCGGAAAATACTTTTCAAGATAAATCAATTTGTAATTGTCTAACAAACTTCTGAACAATGGAACAATACATGTGCGATTTGTACATCGAGCAAAGTTTGTGAAGAACATAACAATATAGATAGAATAAAAATAGTATCATCGATCAAGTTATAATAACACATAAGTATGCTCTTTAATTTGACTTTAGCTGGCATCTACACCCTCTAGAGTGTGCACAAGTAACACTCATACTTTTATAAAGTTAAACAAGTAGACACATGCATCTTACATGACGACGTATGTGTCAATTCACGTCTTACATAACGTCCTACTTGTATTATGCAACGTGTATGTCTACTTGTTCAAAATTTTATATAAATTAAAGTGTGTACCTGTGCATACACAAAATTAAAAAGAACATAGATGACAGGAAACCAAATTAAAGAATATATTTATGTACTATATTTTTTTGATAATTAATCAAACTTTCGGCATAATCGATAATTATAACTCAAAGTACACTATTTCTGAAATTTCCTCATATTTGCATAACTAGCCAAAACATGAACACACATTAATAAGTAGTGGCCCAAAAAGGTCATATGAGTAAATCTACCAATTAAAAACTGGCCCGGTTTAATTAGGCCCAAACCCATTTTCCAAAGTATTCGCTTCTTGCCTTCTTCTTCATCTTTCTCATTTTCTTCTTTTTTTCGTTGCTTCAGAGCTAAAACCCTAACAGCAAAAAGGCGAAAGATCAAAATTTGAGAAAAGCTATGAGTTCTTCTTTGTTCTGAATTCATCTTTAAGCCCTAAGGAGAAAAAAACTTCTTGCAGAAAATGGTAAATCAATCTTTCCGTGCTTTGAATTCTTTTATTAGAAAGAAAAGGAGAAAAAATAACTTTTTTTAATATCAGTAATTGTTCGCTTTGATTACATATTTCATATGATTTTTTTTAATTTGAGTTATTGATCATGTAGTTGTAAGTTTTGTACTAGTTGTTTGTTCTTCTTATTGATTAAGTTTGAATTTTTGCTTTTTATCCATCCAAAATTTGATTGTAACTTGTAAACTTGGATTAAGTTATTGTTTTGGGTGTTTGATGCTGCCTAAGCAAAAAAAAATTTCATATCATTATTGAGGACCTCAGCTAGCTTTGGATTGAAAATAGTAGTTATTTTCGCTTACTTCCAAGTTTGCATCTTTGTTATCTCATTGTTGGACCTCTAGTATTGCTCCCAAACCCAAGCAAAAGAGATTTGATGTTTTTCGAAGTGTCATGTTTCAGTTAGGTTTGGTTTAGATCATTTTTTTCCTTTCTATTTGAGATAACGAAAGTGGAATAGACAAGTTCCTAGAGTGGGTAAATGAAGGGGATGGAGAAATGCCCGCATTGGTGGGAAATAAATGGGAGGGCTCTGATGTTTAAATGAGGGCGTTGAACTTGGATAGCACCATATTTGTGTCCGTATAGTGTCTTCATATTTGTTGTTGGATGTGTGTTATCCATTTTGTTGTCAGTTCTTCACTTGTTAAATTAGGTGTGCGAGAAACTCGCTATTTGTTGTTGTACTTTCTTTACGTGGTATATGATGTGGCATTTGGAACGAGGGTTCACATATATATTTCACATTCTAAATTTTAGTTTCCATGTTCATTTTCTCACTTTCACGTAGTTCTGCATTCTTTTTTGTCTCTCTTCAGTTACTCATTGTTTTTCCATATTTTATTCCCAAGTATTTTGCTTTAATTATTTGTATTTGTATATATGTCAAATATATTACATAAATTTAAGCAGTAGCCGACTCAGGGGCTTTGTTCTTGTGGTAAGAGTGTAGTGCGTGATATTAAAGAAAGAGAGAGAGAGAGTAGCATGTGATATGTGGTTAGGTGCATGTCACGAGTTTGGATCTTGCTGCAGATAAAACCTAGTACTTAAATGGAGAAGGATAGAGTGGTTGGGCATTAACCATCAGAGTGTTGTGCTGTGCACTAGCTGATCCGTTGATTTTGTCTGTTCTAGTTTCAATACATTTTTTCTTTAACACAAGCAGTAGTAATTGTATAAACAGTATGCTTTTTTCATCTGTTGTGGTTTTATTACATTATTTTTTAGCAATTATAATTAAGTATTAAGATCATACTTGTTTCCAACTTGTGCGTCAGGCCACACCATTGATAGCAGGACTGAGTGTTGCTGCTGCTGCATTGGCTGGAAGGTATGGCATCCAGGCTTGGCAAGCATTCAAGGCCAGACCACCCACTGCAAGAATGCGAAAATTTTATGAAGGAGGTTTTCTGCCTAAAATGACGAGGAGGGAAGCAGCTCTTATTCTTGGAGTCAGGTGTGTTTAATTATTCTTGTTAAGGTTTGGTGGGATTGCCAATGCTTAATCATAGAAATTAGAATGCATTACAAATGTGAAGACACTCATTATTTGCATAGATGGCGAGATTATGTATGGTTGTTTTGATGATTATGTGCATTAATGTTGATGTTGCCAATAAGGTTATGCACCTATAAGAAATAACATGACTATGTATAGTATTAAGAGTTGTGTCAATGTTGTACCGGAAGCTGTGACCTAGTGACCAATGAAGTGGGTGCAAATCTTGGAGGCTAGGGTTCAAATCTCCCTAGAGGAAAAAAAATATTACTCCCTCTGTCCCAGTTACACACTTTCCTCTACAGTCCGTTCCAAAAAAGAATGTCACCATTCTATAATTATAAACAATTTAAATTTAAATTTTTTCGTTTATCTTTAATGAAATAATTTATAGCCACACAAATGATTAAGGAGTGTTTTAGACCACAAATTTTAAAAGTCTTCCTTTCTTTTTAAAACTTTGTACCAAGTCAAACGGTGTCACATAAATTGGGACGTAGGGAGTAAGTGATTTCTTCCTGCCTATGTCTTATTGAGCAGAGTTAACAAGGTATCTGTGTTGGTGAAGGAGTTAGCACCCGTAGCAGGTACTAAGTGGAATACCTGTGGTGCGCACAACCTAGCTTAGCTTTAATGTGCTCCTTGCTAAAGGGTACAAATTATGGTGAAAATATATTTTGGTAGATTTTGCACATTTATTATTTTCTTGTTGCACGTTCATGCTGACCATTTATTTCATTCTAACTTAGTATAATTTAGTCTCAGGATAATGACTATTTTTTTTAACTAGAGGAACATCAATATATGTCACTTAATGCAGTGTTGTTGGAAGCTCTCGCTTCATTGAAGTGAAACACACTTTTGTAAAAAAAAAACCAAAATAAACCTTGCACAGAGACTTTTTATATACATAATACACAAATGTTTCAATTTCAAAACTAAAAAGTAGATAGCAAAATATCCCCCATAGGACAAGCAAATTCAAAACCAAAATACATTGGTTGGCCATGTATATTATGATTACGAGGAGAATAAAAAATCAGAAAAGCTGTCTAGTGCACTGATTAATTTATTAAGTCAGAAAACTGAAATGGAGATATGGCTACTACAATAGAATTAATAAACTAAAACTGACAAATTCAATTAACTAAAATAAAAAACAAGAAAGAATTGGGGAAAAAAAAGGCAGTTCATGAAACCAAGGATTGAAAAAATGAAATTGTCAGCACCTCCCAGCAGTGAAGCCACAAAGAGAAAAAGAGAAGAGATGACGTACTTGGAAAAAGACAATGGAGTCGCGGTCGCACATTAGTGGGACTCTTTTTCGATTCGAAGAAGGGTCCATTTTTCAATTTTTTTTTTAAAAAAATATATGCTTCAGCTCACTTTGCGCTTCAGGGGTTGAAGCGCCCGCTTCTGTTCGCCTCTCACTTTAACTATTTGAAGCACCACACCCGCTTCGCCTCACCCGCTTTTGTAAACACTGCTTAATGGGGAAGCAAATTTGAAGTAAAGCAAACACTGATGATAATAAGTGTCCTTTATTAGACTTTTAACATTTGTTAGTACTCCATTCCCAAATTTGACTGGGTACGAAGTTTAAGAGAAATAATATTTTTGAAACTTGTGATCTAAAACAAGTTAGAGATATTTATGTAGCTATAAATCATTTTATTAAGATAAAATGAAAAGTTTAAAGTTTAATTGCTTCTATATAGAAAGGTACTCCCTTCGTTCCTATTTAGTTGTGACCATTTTAGGTTTCACTCCCCTTAAGAAACTAGGTTACTTATTGTACTCTTATTTAGTGTTCTGTTAAAGTCAAGTTTTCAATGCTGGTTGGAAGCTTAAATCAACATTAATTCATATCAAAATTTTGCAAAGTGAAATAAAAAGCAATCTTTCATATTCTCGTATACTTCAAGACTAAATTAAAGTGGAGTACATTACAATTGAAATGCATTGGATGACTTTCAAATTTTGAGCTTGAATTGACCCAAATATGAAGATTTACAATTTTCCACCTCAATTTCCCAATATATTTTTATTTAAAAAGAAATGTTTTATTAACTCTTGAAGTAACATTTCAACTCACTCTTGAGTTATGAACATGAATTAACTACTTAGTTTTTTTATGTTGGTCAAATGCATAGTTTCAAGGCTAATAACTCTCTAGGGTAAAATAAGAGAATAGTTTCATTTATGCATTGGTTTCGTATAATGAAAAGTATTAAAGAACATCTATATTTAGTAAGGACGAAATGTAAGTTGGAACATAGAGAGTATCATTTTTTTGTGACAGGCTAAAAAGGGAAGTTTCACATCAATTGGGAATATATCCTCCATTCCTATTTACATGTCGTTCTTATTAAAAATAAATGTTACTTAATATTTTTCATTTCACAAAATCAATGCATAAATGATACGGTTCTTCCTACTTTGGCTTTGAAAGTACTATACATTTGACCAACATAGGAAAACTAAGTAATTAATTCATGTTCAGAACTCAAGAGTGAGTTCCATGTCTTGGAATTCTTTTTACCTAAAATATATTGGGAAATTTTTAGATTTTGGATAAATTCATATTGAAATTTTGGCTCCAATTTTAAGCTCAAAAATTTGAAGTAGTCATCCAATGCATTTCAATTATAATGCACTTCATTTCTAATTTAGTCTTTATGGAATATGAAAAGATTGCTTCTTTTTTCCACTTTGCAAGATTTGACATGAATTAATGTTGATTTAGACTTCCAACAAACATATTTATCATTTATTGAAAACTTGACTTCAAGAGAACACTAAATGAGGGTACAATGATTAACTTACCCAATTTCTTAAGGGGTGTGAAAACTATATAGGAATTAAGGGAGTACTTTTTTTTTGCACAATCATATTTACCATTCTGATATACCGACCTAAAAATAAATCCTAATTATTTGTTACTCCATGTTCTTTGGTAAGCCTTATAAAAAATCATTTTTATTGAGGAAGCTGTAGCAGTACTCAGTTGATCCAATCTATATGACATTCTTTTTAAGTTGGTATATTCCGAAATGTTGGCACTATGTCTCAATAATGTTATTATTTTATACAACTCTTACCACTTCAACTATTAAATTTTAATATGATGTGATGTTTTCTCTATGGCACTAACATATCAAATATTTATTTATTATTTTTCATCCAGTAATAGTTATGTATCTATGATTCATATAGTCTATCCCAACTTGTTGGAGATTGAGGTGTAGTTATCATTATAGTTTTGCATCTGTTTTAACCATGCATACACTAGCCTTCTAACTCACGTCCTCTTTGGTAGCCATTTCTATCTGGCTAGCCTTACTTGTGCATTCTTGAAACGTTGAGATCAGAATAAGGTAGAGATGTCAGATCACAATTGATGTACAAGAACAGCCTCTTTTGGGAGATTAAGTACTCAAATCTTTTGGAACATCTCTGATAGATATAGCTGGACCATTGCATAAGTGTGGCGGTTCTTCATTTCCCCCTTCTTTTCTTGGAGTCTTCTTTTTCAGGTGTTCTGCAAGATTGAAATTAGTTTGACATGGTAGCTAAGTAAAAAATCTATTATTCTGGAACAAGTCAAAATTGTATGCTGGCATCAGGTTTTGATCCTTTTGCATTGAAGAGTGAAGACAACTTTTAGGGATCTCTTTGAGATTAAGGGCACAAAATGTCAAAACTCAAGAGTCATCGTTCCCTACTTCCGTTCCATAGATCATATAAGAAGTAATACTTTATCTCTTCCTAGAAGGCTATATTTAGATGCTTTGATCACTTCTTATATCACCGGTGAGACTCAGCTAGTACCTTGTTATGTATGAAGAGATGATTGGTGACATGAGGCAGGTAGTCTTTGGTTTCGAATTGAAGCCACTTTTAGTAGAGTATATGGGCAAATAACACTCTTTTATCTCCTTACACTTTTACTTGTCCACTTTGGACTTTCACTTCGGACTAGTACATACTACATAGCTTACTTGTTAAAGTGGAAAGGTATATCGCTTCCTTTTCCACTAAATATCTGCGGGATAGTTCATCTTCTGATCTATTGAATTGATTTCATTGGCATCATTTACAACAGGGAAAGCACTCCAGCAGATAAAGTGAGGGAGGCACATAGGAAGGTGATGGTAGCCAACCATCCAGATGCAGGAGGCAGTCACTACCTTGCTTCAAAAATTAATGAAGCGAAAGACATAATGCTTGGGAAGTCTAAGAACAGCGGTTCTGCATTTTAAAATCTCAACCGAGAGTCTCTTTGGTGCTTTAGAAGTTACAAATTACATGGTAACCGGAGGTGGATCATGCTTTCTGGCATTATAGACAACTTTAAAGTGAAGTAGATTGATTCTTTAAAAGATGTATGTTAGTTGGAAAAGGCAACATTTTGATAGTTGTATGAGTTCACTGAATATCTGCGGGATAGTGAAGCCAATATGTACTTTTAACAATTGATACACATATTCATGGTTAATAATTGGTTGGCTTCTTCTTTGTTTGGATGCTGATTAAATTCTTTCACCATCTTTGTGTTGACAAGAGCAAGAGTGTCCTGTCTAACCTAGTCCAGTATAGGAGTGATTTTTTTTTATGACCGTGATGTCTGGGTCGACTTTCATGCACCTCGACTAATTCCGTGGGATACATGAGCCAACTCGATTAGTTGTGCTATATCTGTATTTGTACTATTGCAATTTTGGAATTAGTACAAATACAAATATCCCTAATTTGATTCCGAATTATAATTCCTTATCCCTCAAACCAAAAGATTGGAAAAAAATAAAATCATAGAACAAATGTAGTACTATTTCACAGCTTAATTCCCTACCAAGGAAATCATTTCCTTTTGACCTTTCCATTCTCTCGAAGCATGTTTTAGCAATATGATTTTTACCAAATAAAACATGTCCAACTCATTTATAAAATACTCCCTCCGTTTCAAAAAGATTGGTCTGGTTTGACTTGGCACGAAGTTTAAGAAATTAAAGAAGACTTTTGAATCTTGTGGTCCTAAATTAAAGTTATGTTAAATGTACAAAATTGTCCTTAATCTTGTGGTCTTAAACATGCCACGTGGAAAGCAAAAAGTATAATGTTATCAAAAAAGGAAAGAGGTTATTTTTTTGAAACTGACTAAAAAGGAAAGGAGGTAATTCTTTGTGAAACGGAGGAAGTATCAACTTATGAGATTTTCCATAAAACAAAGAATAATAAAAAAAAAGTAATCATATGATAGTACATTCATTGATGATAAATGTGGTTCACTACCTTGTTGAGGCTTTATCTTAAAAAAAGTTGATACTTAACTTAAACTTAAAGTTAAGTATAATTAAGTTGTACTATTTTCATTGATAAAAAAACTGAATAGACTTCAAAATTTTGATAACTTAATTATTCAAAAAGTTTTTATTTTTAAAAAAAAGTTAGCTGTCTTAATCTTGTTGATTGATAACTATAACTGACAATGAAGCATATATATTTATAAAAAGATATAGCCACATGTATATGTGCATTTTATTTAAGTATTTAATTAAAAAAAAATAGTTGTCCAGAACAAATAGAGTTTTTAAAAAATTAAAATGCCACAACGAAGGAAAGCCTGTCTTCACCAACCAAGCCCCTGCATAACAAAAAATTAGATGTCTTCGGGAGAGATGGTTCGAAATTTCTTTATTTTTAATTAGAGATTTCGGATTTGAATTTCTAAGAATATAAAAAGTTCTGGTGGCATGCGATTTAGGATGTGTTTGATAAGGCAACTAGTTGTTTTTATGTGTTAGTGTAAGTTATATATTTGACCCAAATAAATCCAAAATTTAAAAAAACTTAACCTTATATCCAATTTGACTAGTCATAAGTATATTTTTATCCTTAACTAATTCAAACCTAGACGAGTCATACTTTTATAAACTAATTTTATTATTATTTTTCGTTTGATTTACGATGCATTATGGGGACAAAAGACCCAAAACCTTAATTATGAATGTGACTTTGGACCCATGCAACACATTGTTAAACAATCGTTTCAAAATGTTTGTTAGCTGAGTGGTTTGGCCTAACAGAGGCATCAATATGTCTAAATGTCATCTTTAATTAATTTATATTTGTTTATTTTACTAGAGTTTTGTATAGTCAATTTTTTTTTCTATAATAACATCTTTATATAATGATATCTCATTATGATAGGCAAGTTTTTTTTAAAAAAAAAATAAATTTATATTATATTTTACCTCTTTATAATAATTTTTTACTCATCTTAATAACACTACGCTCTTTATAAAATTAACACCTATATAACAATTATCTTCTTTTTATGGAGTAATAATTAACCATCATAGAAACAGAATCTCTTAGATTATCAATAATAAATTTAGAGATTCTGACAGATATATATTTTGATACATTAATACGCTTTTTATGACAAAAAATATTACAACTATGTATATATATATTTCTTATTATTATTTCTCTTCTTTGTACAGAATATGATATTTAGAATTTGCCATCTTTTTACTTATAACAATAAAATATTATTTAAATATCAAACCTTATTGTGGTTACATGATAATCAATCACTATAGCTATTAAAATATATTTAAATCAATAATGTTGTTCTAAAATAAGTTAAATTAATTTTCCAAAAAATATTATATATAAAGATATGTCAAATTATTGAGAATGATAATGCACATAACTAACGTAAGTCAACTAGGTGTGTAAAAGATTATAAAAGATTTTGGTCCGTGAGGTTCACGGATATTAGACTCTAATGTTCAAGTTAGTTGGAAAATAATAAATAATAAATTTTCTCTTAGTCTGTTATTAAAATCAATAAGTAATGAAAATCAATATTTTTAAATAAGTGAACTTTATTTAGGTATCACTTATTTTTAAAATAACTAATGCCAAAGGGTAAAGTTAAATAAATATTTTTTTTATTTTTTAAATAATAAAGTATTTAAAATAATATATTTTAGTAAATATCACAATTAAATAGGAATGAAAAAGGAGTATATAGTAGTGTATATTCATATACATTAAAAAGATACTTATTCCGTTTTAAAATAAGTGATTTTTTTAATTTTATTTCAAAATAAATGATGATTTACGTAGTAAAGAAGAATTATTTTTTTCTTTCAAAATTACCCTTATTTTAATACATGAAGTTTTACATTATTAAAAGTCATTTCTTTCTTCAAGACATTTAATTAAGGATAAGATAATAAAATATTTCTTATTTTTTAGGTATACATTTTCTTAAGGAATGTGTACAAGCTAAAACCACCACTTCTTTTTTTTTTTTAAATAGCGGGAGTATATTTAGCCATTTTAATATTTTCCTGTAACAATAACTTAAAAGGTAAGACTGCTGAAAGAACATATTTTCTTTATTTTATTTTACACTACTCTTATAATTAATTTTTTTTACCTCTTTTACTAAATTAAGGAAAAATTGTTATTTTCTTTCAATAATACATTTATCATAAAGTAACTACAAAAGTCAAGGTTAATTTTCAAATATATTTGATAAGATTAAATTAATAAAATAGATTGCTAATAATTTTTTTTTAAGGAGTGTTAAATTAATATAGACAAAGCACATTTAAAACGAACCAAAGTACATTCAAGTAATTAATGATGCAAGTTCCAATAAATACCTTTACCATTCCCCATATATAACCTAATTACTACTCTATTTGTCTCAATTTATTGTGATACTTTTTGTTTCTCCGAATCAAATTATTTAAATTTGACAGAAAATTTGCACATGAAATCTTCAAATGTTTTGAAATGAAATTTATATATTTGTAAACTACGTAAAAAGTACTTAAGTTACAATAATTAACAATTTAAAATATATATAAAAAAATAACGATCAAAACTCAATTTATTTGAATTTCGAAATCCAAAAGGTGTCAAGAGTAGATCTGGAAAAAGAATTCCCCTAAATAATTACTACATTATCATTTCTAAAACCACCCAAAAGAAAAAAAAATATTATTTATCATTTTTTTAAAAATATTGGAGCTGGGAGCCCCTTTTATTCAACTCAAATATTTATAATACTATATATCATTGACTATACAGGCACAACAAATATTTTTAATAAATAGAAAAAAAAAAACAAAAATGAAGTAGAGTAGTCACTTTCATTGGACAAGAAAACAAGTGAAGGCCATCTTGGTTCGGTAACTTGAGAGCTATCGTTCACTAACCTTTGGGTGGGTCCCACAACATCCAATAGTGCGCGTTTTGAGACATCATCGATTACTCTTAGAGTTGTTAATATGGGTTGGCCCACCCCATTCGGGCCAATTCATACAGGCATTGTAATTTGACGGGCTAACTCATTTTTCATGTGGGCCAAAAAATGACTGGCCCAGCCCACAAGTGCATGGGCTACGGGCTTTGCTGGGTCAGCCCTTTTTTAAAAAAAATATATTTTTTATAATTTTTTAAATTAAATTATAATTTAAAATATTATCATAAATATCGACTAGTGTTACTACTTATTAATCAAATACACAAATAAAATTATCTATATAATATTTATTAAGTTTGATTTTAAGTAAAAACATAAACAACTAAATAGAAATATTAACCTAATTGTTTTCCAATGATCATAATAAAACACAAAAACTATGATAATATTCCCATAGGCTATGGCCTATGTAGTGATTCCCTAGAAATTTTAGAAACTTTATTTTATGTAGTACATATTTTATAAATATAATTTGTATTTAAATTGTAATATTTCAAACTTTAAATAAATTTTGAGTGTAGACTCCTGTTATTTTTAATACTCTATTTTATTTTTATTTTTTAATTAATTTTTGTTTGGCCCACGGGCCGGCCCTATCCATATTTCTCAAGCTCGACAAATCGACATGCTTATTCAGGTCGGGCTAAAAAATCATTTTCTTAAATGAGCTCTAAAAATCGTAGCCAACCCTATCAAATCACGGGTTAGGCCAGGCCGGCCCAACAGGCATAGCCCATCTTGACGGCTCTAATTACTCTATCTATTTCAATTTATATGGCGACTTTTGAAGTTCGAGAATCAAAAATAATTTAAATTATCAATTAATATAACTTATGTAGTTTTCAAATATATAGATTTTATTTTCAAATTTATGGTCATTCAAAATGTTAAAATTTAATTTGGAAATTTGAGTTCTCCACATAATTTGGGATAAAGTATTTGAAAAAGGACCACACAATCTACTTTAATACAAATATTAGTAATAGTAATTCCAACCCGCTCGATAAAAAAAAATACATTATATATATAAAATATTTCTTTTAGAATTTTAATATAATCAATTTTGAATCTCCTTAATTAGAAGTTTGACTCATTTATTTAGTGATTTAAATTCTCTAATACCTATAGATTACGGAGAGACAACTTAACCGTTACTCTAGATAGGCTTCCCTTCAAATCAGTGCAATACACTTTCTCCATCCACTGACAAAAAAAAAACAGAGTATTTTTCTGCTTC